ATTTACTGACTGCCCCCTACTGCAGTTCCATTATTGGCAACGCCACATGTTCTGCATCAAAGCTATGTACGAAGAGGGATTTCAAAGGTATTTAACTATACTTCCCTAATAAAACTGAACTGGACTAAACATAATCATTTTAAGAGGTTCTCACATACGGCTTGCCTACTTAAAGGACAACAACATGTAAGGAAGCCCACGAAGAAGCCGGGCATCCGCGCTAGTTATGAATAATCAAGATAAACTTAGCAAATACCGCAGCTGGTTTTTAAAGGCACATGAACATTGGTTAATAAACTGTATTAATTATTGGGTTCAGAAAGAATTAGTCTATATGATTTTGTGAGTATGAATTACGACAAATAATCAGAGTAAACTTAAAAAAATACTGCAGCTATTTTTAAAAAGCACTTAAAATATATTTGTATAAAATGTATTAATTAATGGGAAACGACTCAGCCCTTATAGTTTTCGAGAATATTCGGACCTTGGCCTTCAGACCACTTCTTTTACTAGGCCACTAATTTGTTCCGCTTGCAGAGGCTTTGTTTTCGTAGAATTGGTTGAAAAACAATCTTCCACGCTAAAAAAATAATTCCAGAGACGCAGAGAAATGCCATACGTAGGGTCTTAGCCACAATGTCCTAGATGGTAATTGTTGGGGGATATCGATGTAAAACTGTCTAAATAGGGGCGTAGAAAATATTGAATGTGATATTTTAGGGTGCACCAGCTCACGTCTAGCTTGACAAGACAATTCCAGACTCTTAGTGCTATTCGCATAAAACGCTGCTTGGCACCGCTGGGTATAGGCGCCGTCGAGCAATATCCACTTCACGGTTTCTCGTACGCTTCAAACAGTGGCTATGGAGCAGTCATATACCTTTGTGCAATGACGCAAGTCGGCGCTTCACTTACGACGTTTGTTTCGGGCAAGTTTCTCTTAAGGACCAAACTATACCAAGGTTGAAGCTTACCACTGCACTTCTCGTTGGCAAACTGGTCAAAGAGGCCAAAACAGAATAAACACTACCAAATAAGCGCAAGGTCTTTTGGACGGATTCGATGGTCGTCTTACAGTTAATAAAAAAACACCACGTCACGTCTTGAGACATTTGTATCAAACCGAATATCTACTAGATACATTTTTTCAGACGCATTAAACTGCCGATACGTTAATTCTGAGATCAATCCGGCGGACGTGGCCTCAAGAGAGTAGCCGACGACAGCCCAAAGGAAGGTATGTTGCTTACGGGCTCAACCTATTTGCCAAGAACTTGGACGAATGGCCCCAGGAACCGGATCAACCATCCCCTATTGTTTCAGAAGAAAAAAAGGCAGTAGTGAATACGGTCCACATTGAGAACCACTGGCTAGGACACTTTTGGTGCTATTTTAGATGGAGTAAACTGCGAAGGCACGCTGCATGGTTGCGAATACTTAAAGCCTACATAAAGCATAAGGTCTAACCACAACCAAGGCCCATTTATAAAAACCTCACTTTCGAAGATCTGGAAGCTGCTGAATACGATATATTGAAGCTGATGCATAAGCGATGCTTTGGAACTGAAATTAGATGGATAAACAATCTTTTGCGAAATACGAATCACAAGAATGTAAAGCGGCCAAAAGTTCCCTAAAGAGTATATTCCCTGTTCTGCTCGAACGGTCTGATTAGAGGGAGAGGACGCCTTCAATATGCTCCGTTGCCTTACGACACGAAGCACCCGGTTATCCTTCCGCAACACCATTTCCTGAGCAGAATAATTGTGCAAAATGTTCACCAAATGAATGGCCACATCGGTATATCGCACATGAGTGCTAGCTTGCGAGAAAAGTACTAGATTATCCACGGTGAAGCCCTAATCAAACGAGCCGCTGCTGCTTTTTTGTGTGTCGGCGCTGGCATGCTCCACCCTGTTGACAGATTATGGCGCGCTTGCCGGCTGATCGCCTAGAGCCGTATAACCCACCATTTACGTTTACCGGGGTCGATTACTTCGGACCATTTCAAGTAAAGTTTGCCCGACGGTCGGAAAAGAGGTATTGCTGCCTTTTCACATGCCTCAGCAT